ACAAGGCCTCCTGGCCTCCTGAGCCCCCATCCTCCCTCCCTCCTTTCACCTTCCTGGAGGTGAGAAGCCAGACCCTGCTGCAAGAGGAGGGGGGTTTGCCCAGCCAGCTGCTATGGAAGCCTTCAGTGACTCAGCTGGGTAGGGGAGTGTTTATGAGCAGCCGAAATGGCTGTAAAAGTGGCACCTTGCTTCACTTATGGCCTGGCCACCCCATCCCATACTGGCCCCTTGACTCAAAAACTTTCCAGAGGGACTGGTAACTAGAGAAATGTCTGGGGTCTGAAACCTGGAAGAAGTCTTGGCCCGAGGTCAGGGTTCAGCCAAGGGTTGTAAATCAGTCTGGGATAAAGGCTTAGCCTGGGGTCAGGTTCATTGTGGGGGCAGATCAGAGTCTGGGAGCAGAGCTAATCTTAGCAGACAAGTGACTTTGGGGTTAACCTGGGGGTGAAGCCTGGGGAAAGGGGGGGTGTCTCAGAACCAGATGTGGGCTCCTGGTTCCACAGAGCCTCCAGGCGGGTGACCAGGGGTTTTCTGAGAGAGTGAAGCCAGACTACAGAGCTGGAAGATCCGTGTGAGGGTCTGTGTAGCCCTAGCAGACTGGTAGCAGCAGGGGCCTGTCAGCCTGCAGCTGCTGCATGGGGGGGGGGGGGGGGGGGCGGGGGGGCCCGGGGGGGGGGGGGGGGGGGGGGGGGGGAGTGGAGCTTGAGTCCAGACCCTGCTCTGGTTCTGAACTTCAGTGACCATCTTATCTCCCCCTGCTAAGCCTGGCTGGGGATCAAAGAGAGAAACACAGACCCACGCCCTACACCTAGCCTTCCTTTTCCCAACTTCGTTGAAAACTGACTTGAAACTAACCAGAAACTGACCTCACAGCCCAGAGCCTGCCAGTCAAAGGGCAAGGTTGGCTCTACCCAACCCTGGTGTGTTACCAGTTAATATTCCATCCCCAGCCCCATTCCCATAGTGGCAGTTTAACCAGAGGCCTGGGGGTGATAGGTGACCATCGTGTGGAATGTCTAGGAGGGAACTCTAGAGTGAGGGACTTTGCGCGTAGGGGGACACAGAGACCAGCACACCACTCTTGTATTGCCACAGCCTGCCCTGATCCACCCAAGGGCAAATCTTATCTTTCTTTCTTTTCAAGTATTTATTTATTATGTATACAATATTCTGTCTGTGTGTATGCCTACAGGCCAGAAGAGGGCACCAGACCCTATTACAGGTGGTTGTGAGCCACCATGTGGTTGCTGGGAATTGAACTCAGGACCTTTGGAAGAGCAGGCAATGCTCTTAACCTCTGAGCCATCTCTCCAGCCCCAAATCTTATCTTTCTTGTGTTGCTTTATTTTTTTGAGACAGAGTCTCACTATGCATTTCTGGCCTGTAATTTGCTATATAGATCAGGTTGGTCTCGAACTCACAAAGATCTGCTTGCTTCTGCTTCCCAAGTGCTGGGATTAAAGGTGTGTGCCACCATGCCCAGCCCAAGTGCAAGCAAGTGTTCTATGGTCAGAAGTAAGAACTCTGCTCAATCAGCTTCTAAATTTCCCTCATTCTTAATTCCACTACCTATGTTCGTTTCTCGTTACCAAGGGAAAAGACAGTGGTCACTGCCACATGAAACTTGTGTCATACAGAAACATGTAACACTGAGATCATCAAAGCAAGGCTCTATGGGTCTTCCACTCTCAAAGAGCATGCATACCATAAAGATACCCCTGAACTCACAACCACATGCCCAAGGAGGGCTTGGGGACACAGGTAGGGAGGCGTGTCCTCCAAGGAAACAGCAAAAACCAGACAGAGGTGTGAACGTGAGCTGTCCAGAAGTCTAGCAGACTGTATCTACTGGGGACAGTCGGGGAAGGAAATAGCCATTTTTGAAAACCAGGACAAGAAACACAGGAGCAGTGGGCACAGAAGGGCATAGCAGAAGAAATGTTTGAGGAAGATTGAGGATGTGAGTTCCCACTTACACTGAGAGGCAGAGCCATCCTTGAGATGGTGAGGGGAGGGGGGCCTGAGCTCATTGCATAGAATTCTAGTGGAGAACCCCTGGCGCTCATGGGTTTGCACAAACCCTCAAGGTCCTTTTGAGTCAGATGGACAACTTCCGATTTTACAGATGAGAAAACTGAGGCCAAGAAACCCGGAGAGGCCTAGTGATTAGGACACAGAATTGGTAAGTAAGCAAGCAAGGGTGCCATTTAACCCGGTGATATTTTTCAGGGCACCACACTTAAAATGGCTTCCTTCCGCAGTCCTTTGGTTAGCCCTCTGTTCCAAGCTCTCCTAACCTCCTCTGCTGTCTAATGCTCCCCACCTGGTAGGCTTGGAAATCCTAGATCTAGAACCCAGGGGTCATCCAGTATGGAGTACAAAAACTACACACACACACACACACACACACACACACACCTCCTCTCTCCCTAAATCGAGAGTCCCAAGATAGCTACCAGCATTTGGGGGACTGCGTGAAGGAAGGAGGTGAAGTACAAGAGTGTGTCCTAGCTAAGCCCCAAGTCTTGTAGTCTCGAAGCCCCCAAATTGGGTTCGGTGGGAGAGCTGGAGATGCCTGGCAAGCAGCTGATAGGTCGAGACATCTTAAGATAACCGGATCGGAAAAAGACCCCTCGTAGTTCCAGACATAAGCTGGAGGAGCACTATGCAGGTCTCAGGTCCGCTACACCCCGGGACTAGGGGTGGGACGGAGGATGGAGGACCAGGCAAGGGCGGGGCGGGACGCGAGGGCGTTGGCTGCATAGCCTCGACTCTGGCAGGCGGTGGAGCAGCTTCCCCAGGGTCCCCACCGCGGGTGCACGGACAGCGCCGCGCGGCCCGAGGCGCGCGAAGTACTAGGCGACCTCCCCAGTGGCTCTTCTCCTGGAGCCCGCCTGCTCATCGCAAGGGCTGGACGATCTGGGGGTGATGGGTGGTCTGTGCTTCTCTAAAAGAGAGAATAAAGCAAAAGCGGAGACAGCGTCCCAGTCCCGGTTCTCAGGTCCCGATGTCAGAGCTCCCTAGACTCCGTTCCCCCCAACACTCATCCTTCTGACCCCGGGCCGGGTCTCTGGAGAGAGGTCTCGGGGTGGGGGGCGGCGGGCTCGTTTCTGCCCGCCGCACATCCTCCAGGGAGGCGGTGGCGGTGGCAGGGGCGGAGGAGGCCTGGGGGGGGCGCGGGGGAGGGAAGAGGCTCCGGGCCGCGAGGGGGAGGGGAGCGACAGACGCCGAGGAGAGGGACGCGCGAGGCGGGCGGCGGCTCGGAGCGGCGGCCAGGCGGGGGGCTCAGGAGGCCAGGCAGGCCAGGGGGGGATCCCGAGAGCTCCATGAAGTCCCCCCGGGGCCGCGGACGGGGCGCTGGCTTGGGGAGGCTGTCGGGGGGGCCCCGACATTCATGGCAAGGCGGGGGCCGCGGCGGCGTGCTCGGAGTAAGTCGGGGTTTGGGGGGGAGGGTCGGGCGCGCGGGGCGCGGGAGGCCGGAGTGGGGCAGCAGCGACTCGGGGCCCGGCCAGGGCGGGCCCGGCTGCTCGGTCTCGGTGTCAGTCTGCGGCGCCTCCTCGGAGCCCGGCGGAGTCGCCAGCCCGCTGCCGCGCAGTTCGGTGGCTTTTTTGGAAACTTGCAAATGTTTTCGTAGAGGAGGGGAGGAGGAAGCGAGGGAGTGACCGAAACCGAGCTTGGGGCCGCTGGAATAGCAGAGGCCAAGGCCGGGGGAGGGGGGCTGATGTCCGGAGGGGAGGGGGACAAGGCTAGCTAAAGACCGACTGACAAGCAGTCTGCCCCAGCCTCGGGGCCGCAGGAGCGCTCGTGCCGCTCGGGCGCACGCGGCACGGGTTAGGAGGATGGGAAATGGGGTGCAGGAGGTGGCTGCTAAGGGCTTGGGGGTCCAGACTGGGTTGGGGGAGCCGGGCCGCAGTGCTCAGGAACACCGAAGGGCTCAGTGTCGTTGCAAAAGTCGGGACGGCATCCCGTAGTTGCACGCCCCGCGCAACTCAAAACGCGCCCCCTGCCCCGCCCCGACTCCCCTGTTGCCCACTGCCGCGGAGCTAAAAATAACAGCCTGGTCGCCCCCCGCAGACCGCGACCCCGACCCCTCCCTCGCCCCTCCCCCACTGGGCGTGGAGCGAAGCCACGGCTCCCAGTTCCCCCAAAGAGGGGGGAAAAAAGACAGAGAGAAAGAAAGAAAGAAAAGGCGGCGCGGGAGGGGAGCGGGGGGCGGGCCGGGGGCGGGGGGCCCAGCCATATGGATGTGATTTCTCCGCTCCGAGGCAGACAGGCCGCTCAGCAGCGCTCGGCGCCCGCCCGCCGCCCGCCCGGCCTCAGGCTGCCTCCCTCCCTCCGCCCTCCCTCTCTCCGTTGCGCCGGTTGGTTCTCTCGCTCGCCTTCAGCGTATGGGCCCCGCACCGGGCTCCGGGGCCTCGGGCCGCCCGGACGCCGGGGTCCCCTAGGACGGGGTGTGGGCGGGGCGGCCCGGCCTGACACAGCTCTGCACCCTCCAACAATCACCAGGGCCGGCGGCGGCTGCCCCGAGGGACGCGGCCCTAGGCGGTGGCGATGGGGGCCGCCCGGATCGCACCCGGCCTGGCGCTCCTGCTCTGCTGCCCAGTGCTCAGCTCCGCATATGCGCTGGTAAGTCCCTCTCGGTCTACGCTCAAACACAGGAATCCTGGAGTTGCTCTGGGGTTCCTGGGGCGAGTGTAGGCGCAAAGTCTTGGGTTCTCCTAATTGTCTGAACTTTGGGATGGTGCCCCCGCTCTGAACCAGGAATCCTGGTGCCTGCTCTCCTTGGGGTGTCTTACAGTAGGTTCCAGATGCCTGAAGTTCCCCCACTTCTGAAGACTTGGCTTGGGGTCCTGGGTCTGGAAATCTGTGGTTGGAGTTTCCCTGCACCATGCTCGTGTGAGCACACAGCTCTGGTCGTATGTATCTCTTTCGATGGTGACAGTGTGATCCAGCTGGCTCTCCGGGTGTGGAGTCCCACAGACTGTGTTCGGTGGCCTCTGCTTTCGCAAGTTTTGTTTGCACCCCGCGCTCAAAGCCGTGTGCAAGAAGTCAGAAAATCACATGGATAGACTGAGGATAGGATTTAGAGCCCTCCTCCAGCTCTCGAGACCCCACAGATACACAGCTGTATGCACTAATCGGACAGCTTTACCCGAAGTGGAAGTTGTTTGCCCAGGGAGGTGGGTGTGGTATGGAGGTCTTCAGAAGCCTTTCCTCACAGTACACCTTGCAGAAGATATGTACTTTGGGGCGTCTGGAGATTGAGCTGACCTTTGGGGGTACAGTGCATGGTCTGAGAATGGTGACCGAGAGATAGAATAGTAGAAGGCTAGAGAGAGAGAAAGGATTAGGATGAGAGATCCGACCCCAGCAGGGACAGACTCAGAACAGCAAAGACCGAGAGCTGGAGACACTAAGGGAAATCATGACCCCCATCTTGGGTTAGGGTCTGGGAGCCATTTCTCAGAGAGAGGAGATTTTCCATCCTCTCCCATCCCATATTCCTGAATCAGCTTTTGTGCCTGACTTTAAGGTCTCGTTGCCCCTGTACCCCAACCCTGACCCAGGTCTAGAGAGACAAGGCAAGCAATTTCCTTCATGGGACAGAGCCTCGAATCTGGGACTCCTCTGCTCAGTCTACAGCTTGTGTGACCTTGGACTGTCTGTCCCCACACCTCAGTTGCTCATCTTTGAAAAGAGCATGAGAGAAACGTTTGCCTAACATCCTTGCAGTTTGATGTTCTTCTGTGGTCCCCAGCATTCTGTTACTAGGGTCCATCCCGTCCAATTCTAGTCCGGTAATGGACTACCAAAGCCAAGGGCTGCCCCAGAAAGGAGCCTGCACACAGGGGAACAAGTTCGGGGGGTGCTCCAAGCATGGGCAGCAGGACTATTTGCCGAAAAATCCTCAGTGACTTCTATGTGGGTCCACATACATGTGCATGGGGGTAGACCAGCGGATGGGAAAGGTATCCTGATGTGTGCCGTTTGTCCATCAACACAGGGTTTTGTGGGGATCTGGGTCAGTCCGTGGGATCGTGTGTATTCGAGTCCATATGTGCCTGAAGCTGTGAATCTGCACATGACTCCAAGGGAAGCACAGTTGTACATGCGTGTGTGCGTGCGTGTGGTCACCCTGTGAGTGTGTGTGTGCGCGCGCACAGGTCTATTGTACCCTTGTTTGTATTTAACAAATGCTTCTGTGTTTTCTGTTTGCCAGTGCATTGTTCTAAGCACTTTATGCACGTCAGCTAGTTAAACTTCCCAACAACCCTTTGAGAAAGGTGTCTTCCCGAATTTTTATGAGCTTGCCCAGACCCACTGTGACCATTGTCTATCTTACGTCAACTCTGCCGACCTCTGTACCTCACTGCGTTGTGGTATGGAGCCCCTAGGACCCCAGAAAGCTCTATAGGGAAGCTGAAGTCTATGCAGAGAATTTTCCTGGTTTAGGAGGATCCTACGCTGAAGGCGGGACAGATGCCAGTGTGGCTGTGCAGGGACCTTGCTGGGGCATGTGCGTGCGCTGGACCATCTCCTGCTTCAGGTCTGAGGGGTTGTAGTCCAAGGGACAGGTTTGGCCGACCCACCCACCATCCTGTGGGATCCCTAGGCTCATCTGGAGTCAGCAAACAACTGGCAGCCTGCCCATTCTCTCTCCTGCGTCCAGATGTGTACAGGTATGGACGAAACCCGTCTACCTCAGCTATCACTAAACTATAGACTGCCTACTCAGCCATATCCAAGGCCAGGCTCACTTCTCCCGTGACCTTGGTTGGGGGACCAAAGAACATCCCTCTGGGAGAACACTGGTCACAGCTGGACTCAGATGATCTGTCTGTGCCTCACAGAAAAGGGTAGCCCAGAGACGAGCATTGAAGGAATGAATTTAGTGGAGGGGCTCGGCCCACAGCTTATGAGCAGGCAAGAGGGTGGTCTTGTCCTTTGAGATTCCTTACCTTAAGGACACCCTAGAGAATCCTCCACTCTCACGAATGTGACAGTCAGAAGGGAGGCAGACCTGGATGTAGGCTATGACCCTTGGGGTAAGGCACTTCATCCCTTAGGCTGACTGTGCAGGCCATCTCTTCCAGCCAGCCTGGGGTGGGGGCAGCTCAGAAGGCACTTTTTCTTATTTAATGTTTATTTTGTGTGTGTGTGTTTGTGAGTGCTTTGGGGAGTCAGTTCTTGCCTTCCACAGGGTGGGTTCCAGGCGTTGACCTTAGGTCTCAGGCTCAAATGGCGAGCACTTTATCTGCTAAGTCATCTTGCCAGCCCAAGGTGCTTGCTTTTAAAAATAAGAAAAGCCATTTATCGAGCAGTAGCTTTCCATAGAGTCCGAGCTAGAACCTGCCATATATATATATATATATATATATATATATATATATATATATTCATTCTCACCCCACCCAGTGTCCAAGCCATGTTAGGGGGAAATGACCTTGAAGTGAACGTAGTAAGACTGGCAGAACTGGGATCTGAGCCATTTGAACCCAGGACTCAGACATCTACAGAGGACTCTCTCCTCTAAGCTAAGTGAAGGTGTACTCAGGTAAGAGGTCCCTGTGTGTCATTTTGGGGTTTCTTAAAAAAATGAAATCTTCGTTACCTTACTTTTTGTTTATTTCATGACTAATACATGAGCACATTGTTTGTATTTTTCTCTCTCTCTGTCATGTGTGTGTGTGTGTGCATGTGCTTGCGTGCATGTGTATTGCCTGGGTATTGTCCTCACCTCCTATCTTATTTGAGACAAGGTGCTATCTGGCCTACTGCTGTGCACACCAGGCTAGCTGTTATCAGGCCTCTGAGGATTCTCGGGTTCATCTTTATGTGGGTTTAATCCTCAGTTGTGAACAGCAAGCACCTTTCCCAATGAGCCGTCTCTTCAACCCAAGACAAATGGTTCAGAGCAAACAGAAGCTTTCTTTGGGCACGGTCAAACCCCGGTTCCCTTTCTAGAGAAAGACATTCTGGGAGTCTGGGGACAGTCCTCTGTCTCTCTCTCTGCTTCAAGTGGCGCCTCTTGTATACATAGCAAGTAGATGGATGTGTCTTGTTTTCTGTTTGTTGTTAAATGAGTTCAGCGAGCTTCTCCGTGGGGCTGTGTGACACAGGCATCATTGTACCTAAAGGTGTAGCTTTATATTTGTGAGTAGAAATCATTTGAAATATATATTTTGTTACACAGAGAAACCCTGTCTTGAAAAAATATATGTGTAATATATATTTTTTAATTTTTAAAAATATATATAATGTTTTTAAGTATTTGTATATTCTTGTGTTGACATGAGGTTTTGTGCATACATGTAGTGCCGAGGGGAGCCTGTGGGAATCCCTTGGAGCTGGGGTTACAGGCTGTTTTAAGCTGCCTGAGGTGAGTGCTGGGGACAGAACTTGGGTCCTCTGCCCGAGCAGTTTGTGCTCTTAACCACAGAACCGTTTCTCCAGCCTCCAAATCCCTTTTTAAAAAATTATCTCATTGTATGCTTACTGTTTTGGCTGTGTGTGCGTCTGTATATCGTGTGCATGCAGTGCCTGAGGGGCTAAGAGAGGGAGTCAGGGCCCCAGGAACTGTAATTACGGGCAGTAATGAGCCACCATCTGGGTGCAGGGAATCTAACCTGGGTCCTTTAGAAGAACTGCCAGGGCTTCTAAACACTGAGCCATTTCTCCAAGCCCTTTTTATTCCTGCATAGTATTCCAAAGTATGAACTTAGTTAAACATCCTTGAGGGATACACGTTCAGATCCTTTCTCCACATCCTCCCCTAGTGTGTGTGTGTATGTGTGTGTGTGTGTGTGCGGGTGAGAGACATTCCAGATAGTGGCAGAGGAGCTCCTTGAAATGCCCTCTTGGTTCACCATGTGACCATTTCCCGGTAGGATATTTCTAGAATTTGTCTTTGCTGGGTCTGAGAACATGCACATTTTTTATTTTAATAGGCAAGGCCAAATTGCCCTCTAAAAAGCTGTGCTGGTTTATACTTCCCAGGACTGACCACAGGGGCCCTCTCCCTGTTCGCTGTTTCACAGGATGCCGTGAGGGCCCTTGGGTTTCATCTTAGCATTCTGATAGGTGAAGAGCAGCGTCCCCTGTCGTTTTAATTTACACTCTGCCAGTGATTCTCTGACTTTATATTTGTTTATTACCCAACTGAGCTCTCTCAGAGCCATTACCCATCTTTCTATGGATTATTTATCCTGCTTGTATTGATTTGTCGAAGCTTTTTATATCACCTGCCCTTAAACACATCCTCTTCCCCCACCCCTCAACTCCCAGAACCGCCCGAGGACAGAGCAGTGGAAGGGGGGCACGGGCCCTCCCGGGAACTTGGGTTTTCTTCGGAATGTTTTAATGAGGCGTCAAGCAGCCTCCCCCAGATTCCTGTTGTGGGCCTTCTGGGGACACTCCCTGGTCCAGCTACCACATCAGGAAGGCAGCTATTTCAGAGAGCCCAGGAAAAATAAAAGGTATGGTGGGGTTTTTGCAGAACCTTGAAATTGTCTTTAAAGTGACTAGGAAACAGTGCAAAATCTGCTCAGGGTCAAACATTGGAGACCCCCCAAGCCCTCTAAAACCCCAGCTTGGGGCCAACCTTGTGCTCAAGCTGAGAGCTAGTGGGATCCCATTCTGCTGACCCAGCTAGGGTTAGATTAGGCCATCCCATTCTTCCGGGCCTTGGTCCTCCTGCCTAGCTCAGGTAGAGACTGCGTGTGAAGATCCACCCTGTCCTAGCAGCCAACTCTGCCATCCGAGGTTCCATCCCACCGCCTGCCCCAAAGGCGGCCACGCTGGCTGGCTGGCTGGCTGGCTGGGATGAGAGGCGTCACAGTGCCTCCCCCAGTCCCTCCCAGCCCCAAACACAGGCAGCCTGTTCAGGAAGGCCTGGCAAGGGGGAGGAAAAGTCAGCACTTGTCAGTGGTGGCGGGGCAGGATGAGGAGCCCGTCCCAGCCTGCCGTGGCCAGCCAGATGGACAGAGGGCAGCAAGGGACAAGAGAACAGTCCCCAACCAGTTGGCATAGGAAACAGGAGAGGTGCCAGTATGGGTCCCAGTAGTGGAACCTGGAGAAGGGGTGAAGGAAGGCCACAAGGTCACAAGGGGATGTCCTGAGAGCCAAGTATTTCTCTTTTCTTTGCGGGAGTCATTCACATCCTCACGTGGCACCGAAGGCCAGTTGTCCTCTGCCCAGTTAGAGGGTCAGCTACATCCCAACATCAGTGGCCCTATTGCTTCTACGGCTACTTCTGCCACTGGCTCAAGCCCCTTTGTGTATGTTTGCTCGATGCAGCAAAGGTTACATACAATCCAGGGTGCTGGAGAGATGATGTTACGGCGGCTGGTGCCACGACACCCATGTAGCTATGTATTTCCTTTGCTCCAAGACTACGGCTTTGGTGTAAAGTGCACCTTAGCTCTGCTCCTGGCCCTCTTCTAACTATCATCTAGGCCTCAGTCTCCCTTTTGTAAAATGGGTGTGCAGCAGAAGGTGAGGTCGATGTGAGCAAAGGGGGTCTTGTGGGGCAAGGCCAGCCAGGGGCAAACACCAGATATATCTGCCTTCTCCAGTGGCAGGCAATGAAACAAAGCACACTGTCCCTTAGGGAACCAGGCTGACACTGGCAAGGGGGTTACTGTTGTGATCCAAGAGGGCATCCTGCTAAGAAAACATTATGCCATAGAAGCCCCTTGCACAGAAGCAGAAACTCCTTCATTTCATTCCCTCCAGTTTTGTCTGGAGGGGTAGGATTTTGACATGTCTGAGATCACAGATGCCAATGTGTAGAATCTGGCAGGGAGGGGAGGAAGTTGGGGAAGTGGCCTCGTTTGGGTAATGGTATGGACTGCTGTCTCTACCATCACCACCGTCATCAGCCTGGACACACCTGTGTACTTCCTGGTCTCCCTGGAAGCTAAATGAAATTAAAACATCTTAGCCAGTGGCAGTGTCTACCTGTAATCTCAGTGTGCAGAGCTAGAAGGTCTCAGATCATGAGACTGAGACCTCACCTGAGCTTGGGGATGGCAGAATACACCAGGTCTCTCGACAGCATCTCCTCTGCCATGGGCTCAGCAACATCCGGGTTTGTAAGTAACATGCCAGCTTCAGTCCCTATCTGTCTGCGCCTTGCCTGGAGCTTCACAGACCTGTCTCAGTGTCTGCAGGCTGTCTTCCCAGCTCAGGGCTGAAGTTGTATGACACCAGCCCCTGCAAGTCCACATACTCTAGACATGCTTGTGTGTGCGTGGGAAGGCGCTGTGCGCTGGGTCAGAGAAACTGTTGGCCCTAATCCACAAGGTGGAAGACAGTATGCAGGACAGCTGGTGCCAGGGCTGGTGACCCTCTCGCTGGTGAGTATGGACTAAGTGGCACCTAGCCGTGACCCAGTCCCTGGTCTTGCCTCTGAGACCCAAGATGCAGGTTCTGGATCTATGAAGATGCTGATCTGAGTCTTTCGTACTCTGGAGCCATGCCAAAAAGGCAGCACTCTTATAAGGGAAGGGGGTGACTGGGCTGGGGAGGGGAAGGGAGCGTCAGACAGTGTTGATGTCTGGCTAGTCCGAGTTGTCAGCAGTTTCCCCCTCATCCCACTTCCAGCAGGATAAAGGTCTGATGATCTAGTCTACCCCCAACCCAAACTTGGGAGTCTGGCAGCAACCTTGAGTGATGGCGTGAGTTCAGGGAGCTATCCAGGCAACTTCACCTGGCACTGCCTCCATTCCTGGCCCTCTGTTCTCTCTAGGGCCCCACAGACAACCAGCCCCTTGTTGTGGACCCCTGCAGACAAAGGGGCTGGGGTGGGGTGGAGTGGTGAGTCAGCCCCTCTGCTCACAGTAGCTGTAACAGCAGCCAGCTTTCCCCCAGCCTGCCCTGCCCAGGCTCTTGATGCAGTGCTTCTGTTAAACCCTTACCGTTACTCCGATTTTACAGGAAACCTAAAGCACTGGGCTTAAGCCACTTTCCAGAGACACTAGTCAATGGTAGAAGTGGGGTTTGGACTCCTGGGTTAGTGGGGAGTCCCTGAGGTGCAGCTGAAAAAGTTAGGGTGTCTGGGCATTCCCGGTGAGGAGCTGTGCCCTGGGTAGAGGGTTGCCCACCCTAGCACATGGCAGCTCTGTTCTGATTGGGGTGACAGGGAAGTAGGTCTTAACGCCCAGGGAGGGAAGAGATGGGGCCACTATCCTTGGGGTTGGATAAAGGAGGATGCCTGGAGCCTGTGGCCTTCCCAGTCCAGAGAAGACCACAAAAGAGGAAGCTGACAACAGGTGGAAGGTTAAACGGCCACCCCACTCTCACCCCCGCTCCAGGCCTCTGAGTGGGCATATTGGTCAGTCTCTGGTTGTCAGCTAGACAGTTTTCAACCCATGACTGCTCTGATCTAAGCCATCAACTTCGACTCCCTGGTCACATCAGTGGCTAGCCAGGCCATTAGGAAGCTAATGCATCAGCAAGTCTTTAGAGACCAAGGGGAGGACCAGTCAGTCACTCAAGAGCACTCCACTAACGGGGAGAAAACTACAACGAATCAAATATCTCAGGAGGGGAGGAGGTGGGCAGAAGGAAGGGCAAGGGAGAAGTGACAGGAAGGTGTCACGGGGTGGTTATGAGGCAGGTGGTAATATTGGTGATGGTGTTAATGCTGCGTGGTGGGTCTGGTCCTGATGGTGGCGAGGTAGATAGATGGTGGTAGGTGGTGTGACTTTAGGTGCTCTGGTAATGGTGTTGGCCCAGTTATGGCAGTGACGATGATGGTCATGGTGGCTGCATTGATGGTGCTAGTAGTGGTTATGGTGGGAATGGTGCTGGCAGCAACGGTGCTGGGAACACTGGCTGTGGTGAGGGTTCTGTTGCTGCTAATGGAAAGGCGGTAGTTGATGGAGTTATTACCTGCAGTGACAGAATGAACGGTAGTGAGTAGTAGATGCTGTAATAGGAGTGAGGTGGGTAAGAATCAGACCCTTTAGTAACAGGATCCCCAGTGTCAGACATATAAGGACAGCTTCAGGGTGGCTTTGGAGGTCCCTGGATCTTAGCAAGTCAGCTTGTCCGACCTGGTCCTCATCACTCACTCTGCCCCAGCCAGCTCTGCCGTAGGTGTGGTTAGAATAGTGGGAGTCTGGAGCCGTAGGGCCAGCAGCACACTGGAATCCGCTTCAGCCTTCCTGGGACTCCTATGCATTAGTGCCAGCTGAATCCTGAGAGTCCATTTCGGATCCAGGCTCCGGAAGCAGCAGACACAGGCATGCATGTTGAGAAGTCCTATAGCGCACCCAGAAGCCCACACATAGTCCTTTGACCACAAACATGTACACATGCATGTTCACAAACACATCAGGCTCCGGGGCCCAAATAGACGTGTTAGGCGGTTCTTATGTGAGGCATTACAGAAATGGGGCACACAGAAGTTTACACCCTAGCCCGACAGTGGGTGCGCGGCCAGTCACACGCACGCGCAAAGATGCTCGCGCTCCTCGGCTAAGCAAAACCAGCAAGACTCTGCTCCGCGGAGCCAATTGGAGACTCCTTGGCCTGGAAGCCCGAGCTGCTGCCGCCAAGAGACGCGGTCAATTAACTTCTCTCAGCAGCCGGACTCCCTGACCCAGGCCGCCCGCCCCTTCTCGGCGGCCCAGCCCCACTCTGACCCGCCTCCTTCCTTTCAGGCCTCCAAATTCTCTGCCCCTCATAGCTCCACCCTTACTAAAGAGACCTGCCCACATGGCCGGGCACGGGCTTGCTTCTCTGCCTGTTCAGAGAGCTCAGGCTGTGTTCTCTGGAGTTTTAAGAGTGAGGTAGCCTTTCTAGGGGCGTCTCAGGGGCCATGAGATCTGACAGCCCTGGGCTGTCCCAGAGCATCACACCTATCCCGGGGGTGTGATCCCTTAACGGTCATACTCAAGGTGGGGATAGGGACTGCTCCCAGGCAGGACACTGGCCCCAGCTTTTAAGTCAGAGGAGGCTTAGATTCTCTCCAGCAACCACCAGTTCAGCGAGATACTCTCCCTACCCTTCCGCTGTTCCCTTTTCCCTGGTTAAAATGATGTGACTGGGTCCCAGTGGATGAACAGAGTGGAAAGAAGAGAATGAGGAATTCCTGCAGAGGGAGGTCAGCAAGAGCAAAGGCCTGTGCCTGGTCACACATCTCCACAGCATCTGCTAGGGTGGAGGAGCTTCCGGTGGGATGCCCAGCCCTAGAACAGCATGCGGGGGTCCCGCACAGCCCAGCGATCCCCTAGATCAGCGTGCGGGGGTCCTGCACAGCACAGTGATTCCCTAGAACAGTGTGTGGGGGTCCTGCACAGCCCAGCGACTCCCCTAGAATAGTGTGTGGGGGCCCTGCACAGCACAGCACAGTGATCCCCTAGAACTGCGTGTGGGGGTCCTGCACAGCCCAGCGATCCCTGGCTAGTCAAAGAGAAGTTCTTCCATTCTCCCTCTTTGAGACCTGAAGAAGGGAGGATGAGACCCTAACCCTTTACTGGGAAAAGCCTGACTGGATGCTGGGCCAGGATGGAAAATGGTGACTGTCATGGTCCCCAGAGGCCTTGAAACTCGAAGGAATCCAGGCGGGGTTTGTCTCTTCAGAGTTCAGCACTCCAGATCCGACTCCAGGTCCCCAGCAGGCAGCCAGGATCTTGTGAGGCTCCATCCTGGGACATTCCATCCGTTCCCATGTGCCTCAGGGGGATGGACTAGACAAAGAATGCCAGTGGATGCCGGGTTACTGCTGGACACGCAGAGGACAGCCCCCACCCCTTTCTCCTCCCTGCAAGGGCCCGTCCCAGCCCTTGTGTTGCCATGGCTTCAGAACTTTAAAAGGGGAGCTCTGTAAGTCAGATGCTCCCCATGGGGCAGACTTCCCACATTCCCTCAGGAGGGAGGACTTTTGGAAAGGGGGACATCCCTGGGGAGGTCGGTTGACTTTGGGACCAGCTGCCTCACCTGGAAGAGCTGCCTACAGTCTGCTCTTTGGCTTGGCAGGTGGACGCCGACGATGTCTTTACCAAAGAGGAACAGATTTTCCTGCTGCACCGCGCCCAGGCCCAGTGTGACAAGCTGCTCAAGGAAGTCCTGCGCACGGCAGGTGAGAGTGGGGAATGAGGTGGCGTGAGGTCGGCATGTGAGAAGGGTGGCATCTAGGAGGCAGAGACAGCTGGGTCTCCGGAGGGGTTGAAGGCGTTAACTTAGGGTGGGCTTAATAAAGAGAGACCCAGCCAAGGTAAAGGCCTAATATGAAATCAGCAGGCTCAGGTGGGCCACGTCTTCTCTCTCTCTCTCTCTCTCTCTCTCTCTCTCTCTCTCTCTCTCTCTCTCTCTCTCTCTCACACACACACACACACACACACACACAGAGAGAGAGAGAGAGAGAGAGAGAGAGAGAGAGAGAGAGAGAGAGAGAGAAGCCTTTGGACAGATTTGCTCGTGTCTGCAAATGGAGATTAGAGGCAAACAACACACATAGCCCAGTGGATTTAGATGGGGTGAGACAAGCCAGGAGCTGTGATGAGGGCTCAGCACCCTAACATGGTGGGCTGAGCGAGCTTCCCCATGTCTAGAAAGATGGGGAGGTCTCTGAAGAGACCATTTGGACAGGGCAGAACTAGAGTCTTTAGAACCAGATGGGGTAGGTGGGATAGAGGAACCAGCCTATAGCCTGGAGAGGGTGTTTGACCTACAGAGGGGTTCCCCAAAGCATCTCTAAGGGACCTTTTCCATGGGAAGGAAGGCGTCACCCATCCAGCCACAGTTCTGACCCCTGACCTATCTCAGGAGTCTCCTCTCCACCCCCTTCCTCGAGTGCATTTCCTGGAAGCAGGTATAGGCTACACTGGCCTTTGTCCAGCCTTCGGACTCTGGCTGGTCTCATCAGCAAAGGAGACCAAGACCCTGACTTACTGTCCTTCCAGAGCGGCTTTCTCTCTGGAGCTGGCTCTCTGGTTACTGGGGGACAGCCGTCATACATACCCAGCACACAAGCAAATGGTGAGATTCTCTGTGAAGTATGTGGACTTTGTTCACATTCATTGAGACTCACTCTGTATACAGAGTCCCTCCTACCCTGGCCCCACCTGTGACTCCCCATCACATCAAGGGTAGGGCAGATGAGCGCCCTCCTTTGATTTTGAACCTGGCTCTCTTCCTACTTGGGGAGCCTGTGGTGTGTGTCCATCTCTGATGTCTCATCCACTATGGACGGACCTCCTCCCTGAGGGTGGAGGCAGGAAGATGCTGACAATCCTTCTCTTCCCAGTCCAGCTTGCCTGGATTCTGCTTCCCACAGAGTCTGATGGAGGAGGGCCAAGGTACCCTGGCTTGGGCTATAGCTGAAGTCACAGAGGTCAGATAGCGAGGACTTTCCAGCTAAGGAGGCAGGGAGAAAGGCCAGGCTCCAGATCAGGTGGTGTCTTCAACCCCTTACTCGAGTATCGTAGGGCAGAGGATGGCGTGGGTGCACTCATCTGCCCGCTCCTTTACTCTTGGCCTTTTTCACCAACCTCCTCACCTGCCTAACACGCTAGCCTGACTTGCTTTTCACCGTTACCTCGCCGCCCCATCGCTCCCAGTTTTTGCCATGCGCCCTCTGGTGGGCTGTTCATTCCTTCGTGGTCCTGACTTCTGGGTTGCCAGCCTTTCTGCTTCACTCCCCCCACTTTACCCTATGCTCATGGCATTTACCCCCAATTGAACCTCTGCTGACCAGCTTTATTTCCTGCTCGTCTCTCCGTCTGGCAAACCCTTCACAGTTTCTGAGTCACATACCCGTCCTTCATCTCTGATCACCCAACAACCTGAGTATTGGCATCCTTGGTAGAGTCGACTCCTCATTGTAAAAAAGGGAGAGTGGGGGGAGCAACAACCCAGGGCTGTTGTTTCAGCACAGCTGATGGTTTTAATTTAATTGTCCTGATTTCTCCAGCCAACATAATGGATTCAGATAAGGGATGGACACCAGCATCCACATTGGGGAAGCCCAGGAAAGAGAAGGCTTCAGGAAAGTTCTACACTGAATCTAAAGAGAACAAGGAGGTGCCCACTGGTAGCAGGCGCCGAGGTATGTCGGTCTGGCCTGCCCTCTACCCCTCCCCAGGCAGCCATTTGACAGGCTCAGATCCACCTGTCCCTCCCGTTATGTCATAGTCATGTGGGTTCCTACGGAAAGTCAGAGACCACAGCTCTCTTCCCAGAAAAGCAGGTCAGTTGGGTGGCCTCAAGGCACAAAGAGATGTGCACAGTAGACTTACCCAGCACTCCCCAGAATAGCACCCATACAGGAAACCCATGACCCACTGAGACAGAGAGAGGATAGAGTCCCGAGAGATGGAGTTGGGGAGAGAAGTGGAGACAGGGAAAAAGATGCTCCAACCCAAAGTCTAGGACTTGGTATGTCAAATGAGGTACAGCAAGATACATAGTGGGAAGAGCCACAGAAACAGCAAGAGGGTAGGGCAGCCTCAGAGGGGTGGAGTCAGACAGTGGGACAAGGAGAGAAAAGGAGAGAGGGAGAAACAGGGTTGCCTCAGGGAGGTGAGGAGAGACAAACACAGAGCCCAAGCTGTGGCCACAAGGCCAGTTAGAGCCAGCAGGGTGGGCAGCAGATTCCAGATGGGCCACATCTGGGAGCCTGTGGTCACCCTGTGGCTCCCCAGGGACCAGAGGGAATTGTGGGCCTGGTGGGGTGGGGCTGGGAATATGGCGCCCAGGACAGAGAGCCTTTCACCGAGCTGGGCGGGTCCAGCCATCAAGGCTGCCTTCCAGGGAGGTTAGAGTCCTGTGGTCAAAGCCCTGTAGGGGAGAGAAGGGGGCTGTAATCTGGGGTGGAATGTGCATGATCTAGAGACTGGGGACCCTCTGAGGTCACTCAGCATGACTGTCAGGGCTCCAGAGTGGGACGTATCACTGTCCTTTGAAACTCCCCATTAGCGCTTGGATTTGGAGGATTGTACGCCTCTTGAGGGGTTGATCCTGGGTCTTCTGTGCAGCCCTGGATGGTAGATGTCTAGGCTGATAAGGTCAACTTCCCAGTGAGGAAATGGAGACGCAGAGACGCAGAGTGAGACACCTGTGTGAGGTTAGCAGCGCGTTAGATGTCCAGCTGGCACCAAGAACCAGCCTGCCTTCTGTGGTCTCTAGGGAGGGGCCACACAGGGAGCCTCCAAGCTGAGGGAAAATCTGAGAAAACACTCTTCTTCAGGTTGGTTGCAGTGGCGCACGCCTTTAATCCCAGAACTCTGGGGGCAGAGGCAGGTGGATCCCTGTGAGGTCAAGGCCAGCCTGGTCTATATACATAGTGAAACAATGTCTTTTTTTTTTTTTAAATCCCTTCTTCAGAGACAGTAGGTGAGACCAAGATCAGGCAGAGAGAAAGGCTGAGCTGAGGCCAAGGCCTGTGTCGTGTCACTCAGCATGCTGGCCACTTCTCTTGTCCCTTTCCAGCCCTTCTGGAAACGGGATTCATGTCAGGACTCCATCACAGGGCTGCAGTAAGTTCTCTGAAGCCAGCGGGTTTAGGGAGCAAGAGAAAGGAAGAGCTCACTATATTCTTTCCAGAATGCTCTAAACCTGAAGTTCCCAGTCACAGGGCACATTGCCCCTGTGGGAACCAAAGCACAAGTGTGCCCTTGTCCCGTAACTGTGGATCTGACCCTCCTTTTGTGCACCCTACCCTGTGTTTTCTTTGGGCACAGGACGCCCCTGCCTGCCGGAGTGGGACAACATCGTTTGCTGGCCACTAGGGGCACCAGGTGAAGTGGTGGCGGTGCCCTGTCCGGACTACATTTATGACTTCAATCACAAAGGTGAGACGAGCCGAAAGGGTTGAGAACCACGGGATACCCTAAAGTGGAGCTAAGGCCTCCTATGCCTGCCCTGACTGTCCCACTGCCCTTACAGGCCATGCCTACAGACGCTGTGACCGCAATGGCAGCTGGGAGGTGGTTCCCGGGCACAACCGAACATGGGCCAACTACAGCGAGTGCCTCAAATTCATGACGAACGAGACTCGGGAACGGGTGCGAACCCATAAGACCATCCCCACCCCATTAGTGAACCTCGACCCAGCCCACACTCCTAGCCTTTACTTCTCCAGCAACCTTAATTTGTCATCCAGTTTTCCCTCAGTGCCCACCCTGAGTCCCAGTTCTCTGTCTCTCGCCTGCGCAGGAGGTGTTTGACCGCCTAGGCATGATCTACACCGTGGGATACTCCATGTCCCTCGCCTCCCTTACCGTGGCTGTGCTCATCCTAGCCTATTTCAGGTGGGCGGGGCAAGGGGCGGGGGGGGGGAGGAAGGACAAAGCCGGGTGAGGGGTGGGGCATGGTTTAGGGTGGGACTGGAGGGGTCCAGGGTGCGAGCCTCCCTTCTCCCCCTTCACTGGCTCCATCCGCCCCTGCGTGATGTCCCCACCTACGGCGCACAGCCCAGCTTCCTGCCCACCGCTGCGTCCCCCGTGCCCTCACCACAGTGATGTCGCACGCCCCGCAGGCGGCTGCACTGCACGCGCAACTACATCCACATGCACATGTTCCTGTCGTTTATGCTGCGTGCCGCGAGCATCTTTGTGAAGGACGCAGTGCTGTACTCTGGCTTCACGCTGGATGAGGCCGAGCGCCTCACTGAGGAAGAGTTGCATATCATCGCGCAGGTGCCGCCTCCGCCCGCCGCTGCTGCCGTTGGCTACGTGAGTGCCCCGCAGGCTCCATTTGCACCTGCCTGTCTCTTGCTACCTTCTGCAGCTTCAGGCGTGCAAACCCATCTCACAGGGGCCACGTCTCAGCTCAGCTCCCAGTCTTACTGCGTATGGCTCCTAGGCCCCTTCCCTCCACACTGGAGTGCCCCAACCACCCCCTCTCACCTGGCCACCTGCTGCTAACACCCGATACCTACACCAGGTCCCATCCCGGAAGCCCCAGAGTAAGCTCTGCCTTCTCACCTAATGCAGACCAGACCTTGCCTAGAAGATGCGGGCTCTACCTCTCCGCTAACTCTACTTGGTCTCCTAGGCTGGCTGCCGTGTGGCTGTGACCTTCTTCCTTTACTTCCTGGCCACCAACTACTACTGGATTCTGGTGGAGGGGCTGTACTTGCACAGCCTCATCTTCATGGCCTTTTTCTCCGAGAAGAAGTACTTGTGGGGCTTCACCATCTTTGGCTGGGGTACGGAGACTAGTGTGGTGGGTAGGGAGGGTGAAGGGAGGCCTGCCCATCCTGCTGTGACTTAGACCCTCTTCTAGGTTTAGGGGACTTAACTTGGCCATGGGCAGGGTTCCCCCAGGGCTGTTGACCTGACTGGCATTTCAGCCCACGTGGGGTGATAATTACTGGGTTTGAGATGAGGTTAAATGTGGGATCAGAGTGGGAATTTCAGTCACTAGTTATCCCAGGGTTGGGGATGTAGTCTGGACCCTACCCTGACCCAGAGCCCTGTGGAGGGGCTCACATCTGTTACCAGGAGGCGAGGTCCCGCGGTTCAGAGCCACAGGCCCAGCAGCTCGGTTCCACTTAACTTCTGTAACCTCTCTGCAGCAGATTCCTGGGATGCTACGATCCTACCAGCCCCCCTCAGGCTCAGGGATCTAGTTACTGATAATTGTCCATTATTGCTGGCAGCTCCGGAGCTTGGCTGGGCCCTGGGGAAAGCTGCCAGACTGTGGAGGGGTGGGCCAGTGGCTAGAGCCTCCTGGGCTCAGCACCCAGAAAGCCCTCAGGTCAGTCTCCACAGCCTCCTCGGCCCTTGGCACATGCCCTACCCCTGACCTCACCATAGCAAGCCCCAGAGCTGGGCAGGTCTGGGCCTGATTCCAGGAACTAACACAAGCTTCTGAACTGGAAGGTGTCTGGGTGGGCTGGAAACATGTGGATTAGGGAGCACACAGAACCTTATGATCTGGGAATGTCACACCCTTACCACAAACCCAGGTGACACCCTTTCCCCCCAAGGATCCACCAGGCTAGGAATAAAAGCCTGGAGGGCAGCCAGGCTCCCTTCACTCAGACTCCCATATGTCAGGACACTGTGGCCTCTGCATAGCCCGGGACAACAAACTTCATTTTATCTGCCCTCGTCCATGAAGGCTAGAACCTTTCATGGCTGGCTTGGAGAGGTAGTTTTTGACAGAAAAATGCTGTTCACTGGCTCTCCCCGCATGGAACTTCCAAGTGCAGGGCAGAAGGAGCTGGGAAAAGCTTTTGATACCACACATATCAACACAGGCCCGGCAGGCATGCATAGGTACTCATAAGATGCACATAACCTAAATAGGGCTGGCATTTCAGGTTGTTAGGGTGGCATTAGACAGCCCATGTGCGTACGGTGAGGGGTGAGGCGGTGAGCTGAGGAAAGTCATTGGATTGGGGGCAAAATTCACAACCCTTCCATTGTTCCCTGCACACACAGGTCTTCCAGCTGTCTTCGTGGCTGTGTGGGTCGGTGTCAGAGCAACCTTGGCCAACACTGGGTAGGTCCAGCAGCAGAGTACTGCGAGGTGGGCAGGAACCTTGACACAGGCTGCAAGTGCTCTGGCTCACTCTTCTGTGAATCATGGGAGACTCCGGGCGGCAGCAGCTCTAGCCTCAGGGGTTTCTGATCCGCCTTCAGCCAAGAACCACCTCAGAGTTATAGGAGGTGGCTTCCAAAGAGGCCCAGAGTGTATCAGGCCTGGACACATGCAACACCTGTCCTGTGTCCTCGACAGCTCATGTCAGAGCAGGCCAACTCTGGGGCCTATGTGGGTTGGCTGAGAAGGAAGGGACCAGTGGTTAATGTTTCCTCCTCCCCCAGGTGCTGGGACCTGAGCTCCGGGCACAAGAAGTGGATCATCCAGGTGCCCATCCTGGCATCTGTTGTGGTGAGCAGGAGTCGGGGGCAGTGTGAGCATGAATGACTAGTCCTTAACAAGAACATCTACAGTGGCTTCCCTGGACCCCAAGGGCCAGAAACTCAAAGACCTGCAGACCAGATGATCCCTCCTCCAGTCTAGGTGGGGAAACTGAGGGCCCCAGGAACCACCCAGAGATGCAGTGACAGAGTAGGGCCTGTGGCATGGCTCTGGATCCAGGAATCCTTGTGCCGTGCTACTAGGGTATAGTCTCCAATGTGGCCTCCCTCCACAGCTCAACTTCATCCTCTTCATCAACATCATCCGGGTGCTTGCCACTAAGCTTCGGGAGACCAATGCAGGCCGATGTGACACAAGGCAGCAGTACCGGTGAGTTCTGGCTCTTTGGAGTTGGGGTAGAGTTCAGGGTCACTGGTTGCCAGCATAGAGGTTCTATGGTTGAGCTTGTGAGTCGCCTCTGGCTCTGTGGCTCCCCCTACCCCCCACCGCCTGCATAGCAGTGCTGGGTCATGTCACTTGGTATGGAGTTTTTTCCATTATGGCCTGGGCCTGCTACTGTAGTAAATGCCAGCCACCCTCAGACAGCTGGATTCTGGGAATCAAAGGGGCAGATGGGTAGAGGTTGGCGCCAGTAACACATCCGCTCAGGAGAAAACCCAAGGGTTGGGTCATGGAGGACGGGTACATGCCAGCAGGTGCAGAGGGCATGACAAGGACAGAGCAACTGTACCTGTGATGTGTTCAAGAACACCTCTCAGAACCAAAAAACCCAAGTAACACTTTGCCTCTTGGCATAAGCCATCTAGCTGAACTTGGTTGCCAAGTGACAGTAGCCAGAGCCTCTGGTCCTTCCATCACTTCTGGAGCCTGGGCCTGGTTGGGGTGGGAAGATGAAGTGCTGTATTGTGGGGCAAAGAATATGGCCTAATCTCCTGCCCCAATGGCCAGGAAGCTGCTCAGGTCCACGCTGGTCCTTGTGCCTCTCTTCGGTGTCCACTACACCGTCTTCATGGCCTTGCCGTACACCGAGGTCTCAGGGACACTCTGGCAGATCCAGATGCACTATGAGATGCTCTTCAACTCCTTCCAGGTATGTCGCCTGCCCAGCTCCTGGGGAACAGGGTGGGGGACGGGACGTGATCCTCACTGCCCATGCCTCTCTTCACAGGGATTTTTTGTCGCCATCATATACTGTTTCTGCAATGGTGAGGTAAGCAGTAGGTGGCACAGGGGCAAGGCAGAAGTCGGGGTACAAGGTAGAAGTCAGGGTACAAGGTAGAAGTCGGGGTACAAGGCAGAAGTCGGGGTACAAGGTAGAAGTCGGGGTAGGCTCTCCTCGTCTTGTCCCTTCATTCTCTCCACAGCCCCTCATTCTTTCTTTGCTCCTCAAGAACCTTTCTGACCACACTGAAGACATAGACACAGCTTCAAAGATGATCCAGACTCAGCCTATAGTGGGGTGTGTGGGCTCCTCCATGTGTGACATAGCAAAGATTCTCCCTGGTCCCACCCAGTCTGAGGGCTTGGCCATCTTTGGACCATTTGAGCTTTGGGTTCTGGCTCTATCTGTTGCCCGCTGTCAACTGACAATTGCCTGTGTTCTGAGGATCCGTGTGATTTGACTTGACCTTGGTGTTTGCAGTAGTCATTTACTGCAGGGATGGTGTCAGGCAAAACACATGGCACAAGGGTTAAGGGCACACCTGACCGCCACCCATCTATTTCCCCAAGGTACAAGCAGAAATCAGGAAGTCTTGGAGCCGCTGGACACTGGCATTGGACTTCAAGCGCAAAGCACGAAGTGGGAGTAGCAGCTATAGCTATGGCCCAATGGTGTCTCACACAAGTGTGACCAATGTAGGCCCCCGTGCAGGACTCAGCCTTCCCCTCAGCCCCCGCCTGCTGCCTGCCACCACCACCAATGGCCACTCCCAGTTGCCTGGCCATGCCAAGCCAGGGGCTCCAACTGTTGAGAATGAAACCATACCAATTACTATGGGGGTTCCCAAGGACGATGGATTCCTCAATGGCTCCTGCTCAGGCCTGGATGAGGAGGCCTCTGGGGCTACACGACCACCTCCATTGCTGCAGGAAGAGTGGGAAACAGTCATGTGACTGGGAACCAGGGACTGGACTCCTGGCGTGGACAAATGGATAGATGGACCAAAAGGCCAATGGTTGGCTGGTTGTCCATTCAGGACTGGATCAGGAAGAAAAACAAAAGGAAAAAAAAAAGAAAAAAAGAAAAAGGGAGCTGTGTGGCTTCCTGTGTTTCATTCAAGGAAGGCGGGGTCTAGGAGCTATGAGAGAGTTTGGGGAGACCTCACCCCATGGCTGGGAGAAGGACCCTGGAGCCTATTACCTAGGATGGATCTGGGAGTTGGGTTTCTTATTTTGTTTTCAGGATGGTGGATCTGGGAGTTGGGAATTCAGCATTGTCCAACAGAAAGATGACTCTGCTCTCGAGGTGGCTCAGTTGGTAGAGCACTGACCTGGCATTCACGAAGCCCTAGGTTCCACTCCAGCACCTTATAAACTAGGTGCACCCAAATCCCAGTTCTCAGATAGTCAAGGACATTCTTGGCTGTGTAGTTCAAGGTAGAAGGCAGCCTGGGGTACATGAGACCCTGTCTTAAAAACAAGCAGCCAGGCGGTGGTGGTGCATGCCTTTAATTCCAGCACTCGGAGGCAGAGGCAAGAGGATCTCTGAGGCCAGCCTGGTCTACAAGAGCTATTTCTAGGACAGGCTCCAAAGCTACAAAGAAACCCTGTGTTAAAAAACCAAAACAAACAAAAGCAAGCAAGCAAACAAACAAAAAACCACTGCCCAGAAAGGTTCAGGTCTGCAGGGATCATCACAGCCAGGTGGACCTATGTGGGAACAGCCAGCCTTCCCCTGTTGTCATGAACACATGTGGAGTCAGGCTTCTTTAGAACAGCTCCCCTACCTACTAGCCCAAATCACTGTCCACCAGGGCCCAAACTCAGGCCTTAGGCTCTGCCACCAGGTGAACCTTTCCCATCTGGTAGCCACCCAGGGAGTCCTCCATGCATGACTACAGCTCCCAGAATGGAAGGGATAGACCTCCAGCCACTAGGAAGTTGCAGGAACAGTATCCTGGCCAGTGAGTGGAAGTCAGGCTGTCTCTGCCCTGGCTCCAGAAGCTAGGAGTTGAGGCCCTAAGGTTAGCTGGCGTGCAGGTCTGTAAGACTAGACCTACTTACACCTACACTAAGGACACAGCGTTTGCTCAGTCTCCCCACCTGACACCTCCATACCCACGCCCTCATCCTCTGGGACCTCCTAATCCAGCTTTGAACCATGTGTGGGTCCTCAAAAGGCCTGACACAGGCTACATGCCTATACATTGCTCACTGTGTCTCCCAATGGTGCTCCCATCAAATCCTCCCTTTGCCAGCTCAAACCATAATGCTTTTCCTCCAGACTCCCCCCCCCCCCCCCCCCCCCCCCC